CTAAGAACTTATGAGTATCCAGTACTCAAAAATCACCATCAGAACTTCTCGCTTCCTTGCCAGTACTCATGCTCCTTTTGCCATGTGGTGGCATGGCCAGGCAGTTCTCATCAGGATGCCTGCATCACGATGTTTGGACCCTCCAGCTACCAAAATATTGAAACATAAACTTTTCAATAAGTTCTCTGGTCACACATAATTTGTTCTATCAACAAGACCTCTACCATCTAGGGTGTCACAAAAAAACTCACCATATGTAGATGTCTCACCAGAAGCAATCTATAAAAACTGTACCACAAAAAGCACAACTGGGTGCTGCTAACCCCCATGTGATGCAGGGGGTGAATGGCGGAAAACCTGGGTTCCCTGCAAGGGCCTGATTCTGAAGATGCCACCCACACTGCAGTAGGCAAAGGCTGGAGAAATCATTTGCAGTCCAGGAGATGGCGCTATAAAAGCAACATCCTCTGCAGTAGCCAGACCATGCAAGTACTACAATGCAGTCTGCTGGTGAGCAGGTGCACTGACTCAAGAACCAAATTCCCTTTCTTCCTGCAATGTTACCAAATTACCATTTACAACCTAGTTCAACATTTTGCCACCTGGCAAAGGAAAAACCTTTAAATAATTCCGATTCACTGTTAGAGAGCAGGCAAAAGGGTGAATTCTAGATAAGAAGCAAAGTTCGCTGCTTTTAACATACAATGTATGTACTCTGGACTGCACGTGGAATCCCCAAGCTTAAAATATGCTATTATATCTCTAACAAGTGATTTTCTCATGCATTCCCCCAAATCAGGTGACACATAATGCTCATAGTTGTGATAATTATTACTAGTATCACCATAATTTTATGTGATACTCTTTAATATAGTCACAGTTACCATAAATACTGTTAACATGCAGACTAAATAGTAAAATTAATCTCCACTCACATATATAAGATGATAAAGGGAAGAATGAAAAAGAAAACATGGTCATTATACACAAATAGACACAACATATCACAGGCAAAGAGACAAGTCACCATTGTTTCTAGTTCATTGAAACCTTCCAAGAGCAACTTTTCCTGGTGTCCTACAAGTGTAGATTTTGGACAACTTCTGACACAGATTTACATATCAAATATTTATGGCTTTCTTCTTCCACTATTTCCTACTTCCTTTACCCTCAGCCAGAAACCTAGTTGGTTGGGGTTCTTTTCCTTACTCAGCCACAAATATCTCAGTAAAAGAAAAAGAGAATATATCAGCAGTCATCATGAGACTCCAAAAGAACTCACTGCTCCTGTAGACACAAATAGCTGTGTTCACTAGACTACCCTGTAATCATCACAAGCACCAAACCCAACAGCTGACAAAACTATATAGAATATGCTACTGTGACATCACTGGAACTCAGACTACCACTCTGTTCATGAAGCACCGTCCACAAGATGAGATCCACCCAACCACAAGAGGGAATTTTCCCCCACAAATATTAGCCTGTAAAGTTTCAGTCATTTTCCTATTGCTGGAAACCCACAACTTAAAGGATGAGAGGTTTATTTGGGCTCATGGTTTCAGTCCGTGGTTCGCTGGCTGCCAGGCAGGAACAGAACGGCAGAAGGACAGATGAAGATGAAAAGTGCTCAACTCATGGCAGCCAGGAAGCACAGGATAAGAGCCAGGGAGGGAGATATACCCTCCAAAGTAACACCCTCAGCGTTCCACCTCCTCCAACAAGGCCTCCCCTCCCAAAAGCATTTTTAGCTATGAAATCACCCGTGGACTAATCCACTAATGTGTATCCAATCAACTCTCAAAAACTCCACCTACACTCAAGGCTTTGGATGGGAGGCATTATAGATCGAAACCAAAGCAAGGTTATTGTTCATCAAACATACAAACATTAGTATAAATCAACAAAGAAGGCATGAAACAATGAAGAATTGATACCACAATCATTTCTATACAATAGTTTTCTACAAGTATAACATAATTTTCCAGTATGGACCCCAACAGATATATATCTATGAATTGACTGGCACAGAATCCAAAATAATTGTTTTAAGGAATTTCAGCAAGTTAAAAGAGAATATAGAGAGGTTATTCAATGAAATGAAAAAAATAATATAAAACAAAAATTTAACAGAAAGATAAACATCACCAAAAAGAATTAAACAAGCCAGGCATAAGGGAGCCCATCTGTAATCCAAACATATGGGAAGCTGAGGCAGGAGGACCACTGCAAGTTTGAGGTTACCCTGGGCTACATAATCCAAGGCTAGCCTGAACTACAAGTGAGATCCTGACTTGCAGTCAAAACCAAACAAATTCTGGAACAGAAACTCTAATGAGTGAAATGAAAAATCCACTGTAGAGTATCAAAAGCAATATTCATCAAAAGAGGAAAATATCTGTCAAGTCATTGACCAGTCATTTGAACATATCCAAAGGAGAACAGTTAATACTTTCCTTATGAGAGGCATGCATGAGAAAACAGAAAGACAGGGACAGAAAGCTTATCTAAATAAACATGACTGAAACTTCTGAAATCTGGGAGAAAATACGAACATCCATTTCCAGAAAACAAAGTTCATAAACATGTTTGACCCAATGCAGAATACACAAAACATATTAAACAATCAAAGAGCACACAGACCAATGGAACAGATTAGGGTGCCCAGAAATAACCCCATACATTTATACCCAACTGTTGACAAATTGCCACAAACACATATTGAATGAGGGGTAACCTTTTCAATAAATGTTCCTGGGGAAACTGGATATCCATATGGAAAAGAACAACAGTAGATCCCTACCATTTCCTTCTTTCAAAAAATCAACTCAAGACAAATATATGATACTGCTAGAAGAAAATATAGAGGAAATGCTTTCATATTTAAGGGTATGCAAAGAAATTTTGGATAATGCCCCAAAAGCAAAAACCATAACAGTAACACTTGGCAAATGAAATTATACAAACAAAAATCTGTACAGCCAAGTAAACAATTATCAGAGTCAAGAGACAACTGATAGAATGAAAGAAGGTATTGCAAACTATTTGACAAAGTGTTGGGGACCAGGCTATGTGAGGAATTTTGGGGGGTCAGAATGTGCGATTTATGCCCTACAGTCCCAAGGGCAATGTGACTTGCCTTAGAAACAGAAATTTATGTAGAAGGCTGCATGCATTCTGGTTGGTGAGACTGACAGTTCATAATCACAGTCCTCCTATGGCAAGATAACATCTGCTGAGGACAATGTAAAAATGCTAGTTCTTTATTAATTTGTGCAGGCATCCAGGTAGAGGGAAGGACCTGTTCCTTTTTCACATAATCCCTTGTAAAAGTTTAACCTGTTCTCTATTTCTCAAAATATCTTTTCAACTGTTACTGTTCCATGAATGATGCTTGACTCCTTCCCCTATGCTTCTTGCTTGCTAATAAAAATGGGTCAACCACAGAGATTGTTGAGCCTGTGTACTAGAAGCAGACTCTTCCCTGTTACCTTGTATCTTGAATATTGCCTGTTTCTCTTTATTCTCCATCATCCGCTTCCCCATAAGTATCCAAGGATCTAATCAGTCCCTGGCAAAAAAGGACAAGTATCAATTATCTTTATGTATTCAAACAAACCAGCAAAATATAGTGAAACAGTTCAAATATTGTGAAATCATTTGAATATATCTCTCAACAAAAGACTTGTACAATGGCACCCAAGTCAGGTGGAGCTAAGGAAGTAATGCAGTGTGCTGGGCACCAACAACCTACAGAGTAGCTACAGAGGCTGGCAGTAGCTGGAGGGGAGCTGCATCTTGTGGTGTGAGGAGCAAGAATTCACTCCATGCCTTGGGGTTAAGCCCAGCAAGCCACCACAATAAAGATATGTAGATCCCACTGGTGGCAGAATAGTCAGTGAGACATCACTGATTATATCTCTGTCAGTAGAGTTTCCAGAAGAGGTTCCTCTTCTGGCAAAAGAGACCACTATTCCAGATGATATCATCCCAAAGGATGTTCCGGCATACACTGTAGATTATTCAGAAGCAGGACAGTGTGATGACTGATTTTATCAAGAAATATCATAAGCTAATATCATACACATAATTTACATGGTTAGTAGCAAGCATTCTATTGATAAGGTAACAAGTCAATAGATTCTATTCATAAAGACATTGCTTGGGGATAAATCTGATCTGATGGAACATAGTAGAGTAAAAACTGTCCTCACTATATGAATCAGTATTCAGAAATAGAAACCTGTATGCACTCTTCAGCAAAAAAAAAAAAAAAAAAAAAAAAAAAAAAAAAAAAAAAAATAAAAAAAAAAAAAAAAAAAAAAAAAAAAAAACAGAATAAAGTAGAACTCTTTCGTTATGCACAGAAAGCTGTTCTTCATCCTATAAGACACCAGTACTTTCCAGCCTATATAAAATTCCCTACTCCTATATCAGATTAGTGATGATACTCTCAGTGATGCTGAATTCAATTTCTTTCAGAAAAATTGATTTGCCCCTCTGTTAGTTACTCACGATCTGGAAGATGTTAGGAATGTAGCCAGAAAATATATAAAGCTCTCTGGCTCACAGTGGATTGACACTGAATAGTTTTCTCCTTCTAAACATGCTTTTATCTAGAGAGGGAGACACAGAACTACATGTACTGTGTTCTGAGGATTTGATGATGCTGATGATGTGGAACACATGCCTGAAAAATCTGTCTGCTAAAAAATACCTCCTGATTGCACTGCTGAGCTAAATCATCATATGTATCTGTATCTCATCAAATTGAAAACCACAAAAAAGGAAATAATTAGCCATCTGGTTTCCTGTAATTAGGTTAATTTTTCACTAAATTTAGACGTTCCAAGACTTGAAAATATTGTATCAGAAATTGTTTTATTTCTTTCCTTGTTAAGCTTCACTGACCAAGGGGAACCTCAGGCCCCCAGAAGCAAATAAAAGCACTGCGTTTTCAGCCACCACTAAGAGCTCACCACTCTACTGGTTATTGAACCATGAGATTCCATTCTCTTCTTCCCGTTCTCCTCTTTATGACTGTAATAACAAAAGGTAAGATGGCAGATGATTGTAGAGGTAGGTTTCTTAGGAGGCACAATTATTCATTGGCCATTATAACTCATATGCCCATGCAAGGCTTGATATTCAAAAATCCAGTATCTCATTTGGAACCCATAAAGTCAGAATTGAGAAGATGAGTTTCATCAAATATAAAATGGAGCCAAAATGGTCCATGATTAAAAATAGGATCCAGCCAGAGAAACAGAGGTAAAGAAGCCTTGACATGAAAAAGGCTTAGTATTTAGTGTGTGTATTTATCAAGTGGGGCCTACTGTCCAAAAAGAGTAAAGATGGAAGGCACTAGTTGTGAGTTGGTTAGTGAATGAATGTATATAGTTTCCTGGTAAGAAATATACGTGAAGGTGGATGTTAGGAAAATAAGACAGAACTCAAAAAGGGTTTCTTCAGTAATAATCATAAATTTTGAGACAGAGGAAAGAATGCACAATATAATGGAGCTTCAATGGTGAAACTTTAAACATAGGACAAATAGTGTAGCAAGCATTTAATAATCTAAATTGCATATTTAGGACCCATAATTCTGATGTTTGAACATTTAAATGTAGAATTAAAATTAAAATTGAATATAGTCACCATCTAAATGTTTCATCCATATCCTCATAGTAACTAGTAAAATTCTTTAGTCCACTGTCAATGGCACAATGTTCACATTCATCAAATAATGTCTATGGTCATTGATTTCTTCATTGGTTCACATCTGATATTCTAAGTACAATGAAATCTACTCATCTGTTGCCTAATTTATGAACTTCTTGGAATCTACCCAATATATAGTTGTCTTTTGCTTTAAAAAAAGTTTATGAAATTCTCATTTAATTTCTCAGCATTGGTCAGAAGACAGCTGTGGTCAGACACACTTCATAGTGACATGTGGTATAGATAATCATTTAAGGTTAGAAGGCACTTTAATGATCAGATCTTTCATTTTACATAACAGAAACTATGTCCACATAAAGTATATGATTTTGCTACAGTTACACAGATAAAGGCAACACTGCATGTATCTTTAATCTGAGTTATCATTGTTCCTACAAAACCACCAGTGTGAATACACACATAAAATGGCAACTCTGATTTCTGTCAGGCTTTTGCTTCAATCTCTTTTGCTTAGATATTGAGGAAACTAAAAAAGAATTTCTGCCATGTGTGACAACATGGATAAACCTGGGAGCCATTAAGTAAATAAACCAGGCACTGAAGATAAATACTGCATGATTCCATTTGGACAGAGGTATCTACAATAGTCAAACTCATTGAAATAGTTGCTAGAATGAAGTTTTGTAGGTACTAGGGGTGTACCAAGGAGTTTTGTATGAAATTTCAATTATACAAGATGAAAATACTCTAGAAATCAACAGTACGTCATGTGTATAGGAGGTAAAATTTTGTTGAAAGCACATCTACTGTTTAGTGTTTTTTATTAGTTTATAATATGTAAGTTACATTCATATTGAAGAATTTATATATGTATAGATGTAACATTTTTTAATTTTTAGTTATTTTAAATTTTATTAGTACATGTTTGCAGTATAATGGTTCCATTCATTGTGGGGAATTGGTACATGTATATAACACATCTCAATTCTTTTCTTTCCCTTCCCGTCATCCCCCTTTTATTTTCCCAGAATCAAATTCATTTGCAGTACCTAGTGATTACATTCTTCATGGGGATTTGGTACATGTCCACAATACATACTAATTCTTTCTACATCCCCTTCCCCCACCCCGGAACTACATCTTGATAATTTTTTTATCCTTTAATTCCCTCCCCTTCTCCAAGAAAAAAAAAAGAGCAGACGACAGGACTGCTATGCAGCTGAGAATTAAGTCTGTGTTTTGTGTACACAATACAGCTGAACCAGCACCTTACCTGTGGGCTTCTCAGCAGCCAGATGAATTAGGAAAGCATACGAGAACATTTAGGGCAAAAGGAATTCCAGCCCTAAGAGAAATCTCTCTCTACTCTGTAGAGGTACCTTTTAAGAATCTCCATATAATGGACATTATATATAATTATATATAACAGACTCAAGAAAGTCAACTGTTCTATACTACTGAAGAGGGAGTTAGTTACGATGGTATCTGAAGAACTGACAGACTTCCTGCAAAAGGAGACAGAGATAAGGACACGTACCATCTGGTGAGGGTTATCTCAGTGCAGATGGGAGGTGGACAGGTGGGTACTTTCTTTCCAACAGTGCATTTCGGTGGAGGCATTATTGGCATTTGGCAAGGGACAATTCATTATATAGGAAAAGGAGTCAAGCTGTGCCTCACCCACTAAATACTGAAGACACCTACTCTTTTATGGAGACAATAGTCTTACACATTTCAAAATGTACTGTTCCACGTGAGGAACATCCCTAAAGTCTTAGAAATCAGCCTGCCCCTCCAAGAAGGGTACTGTCACATGCTCCTAGCTCCTCTCCCTCCTCCTACTTTTGTCAAAGTGTCTGAACTTTTCATGTAGGCAGTATGTGTCTGATATCTATAAGCCATCCTTTGGGGGTTATGGCATCATGTATATTTGAAATAATTTCAGAGTGAATTAATCTGTAAACTTTCTTCCTGTGCAGGAAAGACTGGTGTTATCCCAGGAGAGAAGCAGTGTATTGCATTGAAAGGAGTATGCAAAAACATATCATGTACAACTACAGAAGATACCATTGGTATATGTAATGAAACAAAAAAATGTTGTAGAAAGTGGTGGATATTTGAACCCTATCCAACACCAGTTCCAAAAGGAAAATCTCCTTAGATGGGAGCAAGCTGTAAGACCTTCAAACTCCAGAACAGTTGGATAAGATTTGAAAGCTTCTGTTGAACAAAATGGCTTTTTTCTCCCTTAACTGGAAATAAATGTTGTCCTGATTCCACAGGTACTGATCCCCGGCACATTTCTTCATGATGGACATGTAAACCTCTTAGAAACTACAAGAATTGTCTAAATAACAGAACTTCATACCCTGAACATATTTATACAAAATACGAGTTTTTAGGGGAAAAATGAAATTTTAAACATGTTAAAGTTTATCAATTATACATTTTCATCCTTATTTACACTTTTAGTTTTTCACACCAGAGAAACTACTCAGTATTTACACATGTATCCTATTTATTTCACTTAAGAGTATGGCCTCAATGTGCATCCGTTTAGCTATAAATGTCTCTAGTTTCTCATTCTTTATGGCTGAGAAGTACTTCATTTTATTTTTTTTACTCTTCTTTATCCAGTTTAAGAGTATGAAACAGATAGTGCTTGATGATCTGAAATGGAGTATTAGTTCTCTTCTTCATCTCATTAGGGGACAAAAACTTCATTTTGGGGGCTGAGGCTATTATAGCTCAATGGTAGAGCACTTGCCTAACATAAGCGAGGTCTTAGGGTCTAATCCCAGCCCTTCAATGGGGTATGCACTGCACTTTCAGGTTCACCTTACCCACTTCTTACACTGTTCTGTCATGGGTCTTGGCAGGGATTATAACGGTGACGCTCTTTTTTGCCTACCCTCCCAGGCCTTCTTCTAAAATCTGAGTGGAAGCTTCCATGACCTCATAAGTTTTACATTCTGCCTGAGGAAGTAACACCACATGGTTGGTGTCAAGGCAGTCATAAGCTTGAACAGTTGCTGGGTCCCTTTGACCAAGGCTGAAGTGGCTTCTGAGTGCCTACACTGATGAACGTGTTATACACTTACCTAGACGTCACCGAATGACCAAGCTTCCTAAGGACTGGCTTCTCAGGTGGAAGATTTACAGTTTTGCACCTTTGAGTCTTCTATGGGTGGGGTCTTGCTGATTTCTGAGACGTTCTCATGTCATATTTCCTATTGTCCTGATGCAAAGTACTTGGTTTCTTTTTAATGCCAATCTTTTCTGGAACCATGCTCCCCTTTCCCCTAACTTTGCAAACACTTCCTTTCTGATCAATCTGCAAACTTTTCAAACTACACAGGTCTGCTCTATATTTCTGCTTCTCACTGTAGATTTGGCTAAGAGTAGCCAGCAATAACCATGCCACCTCCTCAATACTGAGCTAATTTGAAATTTCCTCAGCCAGATTAATTAATCTACCACCCTTAATCTTAATCTTCTGCAAAATCTCAGACATGGGCAAATGCAGACAATTTTTCTGCCAGAGCATAACACTCAGGAATAGAGAATTCTTACTGCCAAAGGAGTCCTTGCTCTTAACTGAACCCTCCTGAGCCTCGACTTTACTGTCTGCATTCTCATCAGCATTCTGGGTTTCTGACCTCTGGCCACCATCAAGCACTGTTCACAATATTCTGATAACCATTCATAAGCACGTGGAACACTCCTAGGAGGGACTATGTGCAAGGCTACAAAATAAGCCTAACTGCAAATACAAATGAAAAAAAATTTTTTTTTGAGACAGGGTCTCACTATGTAGTTGAGACTGACCTGGAACTCACGACATAGTCCAGGCTGGTCTCAAACTCACAGCGATCCTTCTGCCTGAGCCTCCTGAGTGCTGGGATTACAGGTATGCGCCGCCATGCCTGCCCATGAAAATTAAATGTTTCCTCTTTTATTTGCATATGAGAATGCCTTTATTTGCTGCTCAACTCTATTTTGTGTTAGTTTCCTTACATCTTTTTATTTTGAGCTTTCTTTTGAATTTTCCGTTGTGCACTAAACTAATTTGCTTTCATGATTTCTAGTAAATGTTTGGGAGACCATAAATGCCCTTTTGAAAGCTGCCTTGATTCTATACCACAGGATTTGATTTATTGGGGCTTTCAATGCTTTTAGCACATATAATTTATATGTTTCCTCAGCCCATGTACTATGTGAGATTGTGCAAAGTTTTAACTTCTATAGGTATCGGTTGGGAAATATAGCTTGTTATTGTGGATTTCCAATATTAACATCTTGCCTTAGAATACATGGTCTCTAGGAAACCAGTTTTATTTCAGAATCTGCTCAGTGATGATGGAAGTGAAGATGTTGACACCAGAACAGAAAAAATGAAATGAAAAAAAGGTTCATAGAAACACCCTGGTGAAAAATGAGTTTTGCAATGTTGATAGCAAAAAAGAAGAGGAGATAGAGATGAATTTTACCTGATTAAGGAAAAACAAGGAGACTGGAATAAGTGAAGCAGAGTGAAAAGAGGAGACAGTAGGAAGCAAAGAGAAATGCTCAGGAACCACATCAGGGCAGACAGCACAGGCCATGAAAAAGGATGTGTGGGATTTCAGAAAGCTTAATTCCGCTTTTTAAAAGGAAATAATGTGACTTACTTTACATTCTTAGACTATTTTTGGTGGGTGAGCGCAAAATAAACTATACAACCCCACTGTCAAAGCAAAAAGAAAAGTTAGAGGGCTATTTCTGGGAAGGCTGGTGAGTTGGGTAATGGCGCTATCACAAAGACAGTAAAGACAGTTTTCCTTTAAGCCACATTCTAAATGTAGTCCTGAACTTGTGGAAGGATTGAAATTATGAAATGAGAGAAAGATTTTAATATATTGTCTGAGGGGTTGTTTTTGTTTTATTTCATTTTACACAAGAAGCTAAATTCGTGAAGCTCTCTTCAATGGGAGGGCAAAAATAAGGGAGATGGGTTTCCTATTAGTGTGTGATTTGTAATAATTTCATTCATCTTGGGGAACTGGTACACATACATATTGCACCAATTCTTAATAATTACTCCTCTCTTTCCCTCCCTTCCATCTCTCCCCACCCCGAGCCCCTTCTTTACCTCCACAAAGATTAACTCCTCATTTCCTATCATCTCTTACAGTATCTTGCTCATTAAACTATTTATAGTTCTAGCTTTTCATAGACGAGAAGTCATGCAGTATTTAACCTCCTGTGTCTAACTCATTTTACTTAGCATTATGTTCTCATGGCGCATCCATTTTTCTACAAATGACTCAGATTGGTGCTTCTTCGTAGCACAGTAGTATTCCACTGTGAGTACCACATTTTCTTTGTGTATTCATGCGATGGTAGAAATATAGGCTGCTTCCAAGATTTGGCTATTATGAATTGTACCGCTATAAACATGAGAGTGAGTGTACCACTCCGATAGGCTCTTTTACTCTTTGGGGAAGATACTTAGAAGGGGTATAGCTGTATCAAACATAATTTCTACTTTTAGAGTTTTGAGGAACCTCCATGCTGATCTCCATAGTGATTTCCTAGGTTACCTTTCTGCCAACAGGGTAGAGTTTATTTTCTCCGCAATTTCACCAGCTTTTTTGTTTTTAAGTTCTTAATGGTAGCCATTCTTTCTGGAGCAAGATGGAATCAAAATGTGAGTTTTATAAAGAATGAGAAACTAGAGACATTTATAGCTAAATGGATGCACATTGAGGCCGTACTCTTAAGTGAAATAAATAGAACACATGAGTAAATATCAAATAGTTTCTCTGGTGTGAAAAACTAAAAGTGCAAATAAGGTTCAAATGGTATAATTGATAGTGTGAAATAGGAAGAAAAGACTAAAGGGAAGTGGGGAGGGGAGGGGAAAGAAAGTAAAGGAAATGAAAAAATGGAAACAAAGGCAGTAAATAGCAAAGGGTGAAGGGGGTGAACGGAGGGCAGGGGTGTGGGGAAAAATAAGAACCAAGACCTGTCATGTAAAGCTACAAGATCCCAATGATAAATGTAACTATAGTGTTTACTTTAAATGTACCAATAAACTTAATGGGAAAAGAGATGTGAGTTTTAATAGATGGTATGAACCAAATATTCTATCTGAATTACATAATAAGTATCAAAAAATACTTTCACAAACATGGGTGAATAGAGGAGGAGCCACCTTGGAGCTACTCAGAGAAATTCAACACAGGTCATTGGAAGAAAGGGAAATACACCCTGATGCCAAAATCAATCTGAAATGAGAAACGTGTAGATCAAACAAAATGTAGGCATAGGACTTTATAAAGTGCAAACCAGCCCTCAGGGCTGCTGGCAGGTCTGCCACCTGTGCACAGAGAAGGAACCGCCACGCTGGGAAGGTCCCAAGAACTAACAGATGCAATAGTGTGGCAAACTCGAGCCCCACAGAACAGATTTGAGGTATAAGACCCTTCGCCTCTTCTGCCTTCCTCCACAGAGGCCGCTGCAGCCTGGCAGCAGATATTGCTGGCGCGCACAGGGTGAGCAGCCAGGAAGCGGCTACCTCCAGGATTGGCCACTGAGGCGCCAACTGGAAGCTCTAGCAACAAGGTTCTTTCTTTCTTTGTTTTTGTTTTTGTTGTTTTTTTTGTTTGTTTGTTTGTTTTGTTTTTTTAGTTTATTGGTACATTTAGGTATACAGTACAGTTACTTTCATTACTGGGATCTTGTACCTTTACATGACAGGTCTTGGTTCTCAGCATGGGCGGTGAGGGCACTGAGTGGGAACAGCAGGACCCCTCTCGCCTCGTGAGAGGGACATGAGAGAGGGATGCAGGCAGCAGGATTTAAGCAGCTTTGGGCAGCAGCGGGACAATGAGTGCGAAGTCAGTCACACACAGTCACCAACAGCACTCCCCCCGCCCCACGATGAGGAGAGACACGTGCCCGTGAAGGCTGTGCAAGGACTGGCAGCACCCTGGGGCTATCCCTCCCAGCAACTGGGAGAGCAGTGCAGAGACAAACAGAGTAAGGACACGGGTTAGTCGTGAGGAACTTGGAGAGAGCTGCTGGCTGAAAGCTGGTCCCAGCCCCCACACCCAGCCCTGACCTGCCACAGACTTGGCGCGGTCACCCAGCACAGTGAGCTGCCACAGGACTGTGGGT